AGCCATTGGTGAACTTAGATGGGGCTATTTCAGTGAATTAATAAAGACAAAAAAAAAAAAAAACTCAGTTGAATGTAGGTCTAACAGATAATGGAAGGAATATAGACAACTGGAAGAGAATTATTTCCAAGAGTTTGGAATGGACATGGGAGCAGAGAAATGAAGTAGTATGGAGGGTTGAACTGTCAAAATCATTTTAAGATAGAAAAAAAAATAACCACCAATTTTTATGCTTAACAGCCATTAGAATTGAGAAAGTGAATGACAACAGAGGAAACTGATGCACAACTAGTGAAGCTGAGATCTGCTGTACAATCAGGGCTTGTCCTTAAAACAGAGTACCCCCCACGTAATAAGAGGCTTACTCTACAGACATAGATGCAAGCAGGTTAGCCAGTGCATTGATGGGCCCTGGAAGAAATTCACCTGCAATTGTTTCTGTTTTCTTGGGTTGGTGGTGGGGAAATGGAAGCATGGGCAATAAATAAGAAAGAGTGAGATGGGAAGTGTGGAAAAGATAAGATGTGAAATAGTCTGATGAGAGTGAGTGGACTAGGGAATCTAGTGAGATTATCAGGCAGACCCATGGCCCTTTTGAGGTTGATAATCATGCATTTTGAGTGATACCAGTTGGTGCAGATGATGTATTCCTCCTGCCAAACTCAGTCTTGTACATGTAAACGGTGGAGAGGCAAATTTAACAAGAGTTCCACTCTTGCCAAATGGGGACAATGAAGTGACAAAGAAGGCAAAATGACACATAAAGAGAGATGTGATGGCATGACAATGGAGTAAGGAAAATTCATGTCAAATCCTCAGCAAGTTGGTAGTGATGGAGTGAAAGATTACTGGAATTACTGGAAAGATTACTGGCACTAGATTAAGTTGGAAAGATAGGCAGTATTGATTGAAGGACTTGATGCTTGGTATTGAGACTTTAAAAGGATCAAAGCAATTTACAATGATAAAGTCTGGTAGGATATGATTATGGAAGTAAGGAGGAGAGAATGATGTAAAGTCTTTGAAATCAAAGAACTGATTGTCCAGAATATCAAAAGAGTTAGAAGAACATTTAAAGAACCAAGAATGGCCACGGGCAGTGTTCAAGAAAGTAGGTGAGAATTAGAAAAGAGCTAAAATTTCAAGGAATGAGGGAATAGACAAGTGGTGTAATATGGGCCTTATGGTATACAATTCAAAGCAGGTATCTTATATGTTAGGTATAGGTGAATATTTTGTGTTGGCTTTCTTTTCTTTTTTATGCTTATAACTTTTTCTGTCTTATTTTTCTTTTCTGATATGCTTTTCTTTATTTTGTTTAACCAACAAGCACGCGTTCTCAGCCTGCAGTATATGTTAGAATTACCTAAAGAGGTTTTTAAAAATGATACCCTGGCTTATTGATATAATTGTTCAGAGACGGAATCAAGATGTTTGTATATTATGAAGTTCTCCAAGTGACTAATGAGCTCACATTCTGCCCACTAGTCCAAAAGAAGAATTTAAAGAGCTTTGTCTTTGTGAACTTATGCATTGCCATGCGGGATAATCTATTCTCAGTATAGCCTGGACAACAGTCCTCATCCAATAGAATTAGGAGGAAACCCTGAGGTAGATGTTATGGCTTAGCAGGTTGCGGGTGCCACATGATGGAGTGCCTGAATGTAGTCCCACCTGCACTTCCTACCTGCTTCCTGCTAAGGCACACCTGGAGAGATAGCAGATGACAGCTTAAATCATTGAGCTGACCTAATTTGGATTCCTGGCATGAATATGGCCCAGCCCCAGCTATCAAAAGCATTTGGGGAGTGAACCAGTCCTTTAGATAAATAAAAATTTTAAAAAGTGATATTCTTAAAAAAGAAATTCCCTTTTTCATTAGGACATTTAGTTAATTTTTAAAAATCTTCATTGGAAATGGAGGAAGGAAATGGGAAGGGGGAGTGGCTTTTTGTTTTGTTTTGTTTTGTTTGTTTTTAAATCTGGAAAGCAGAACATCAAATCAAATAAAACTTGCAAGTGCCTTTTCCAAATCATCTAGGTTTAAAGGTACGGTGCTAACCAGCTAATGTGAGCATCCCAGATGGCTTCTGTCCTTCCTTCTTCCCACCTTCTAAAACTGCAAATGGTGCTGAGGTAACTGACTCTGGGTTCTCTCTCACTGCTGGTTTCTGCGTAGGAGTGTTGCACACACCAGGCTCACTTAGCACCTGCATTTGTATTATGAAAACTGCACATCCACCATTTGAACATTACCTCAGATTGTATAATTTTCTCTCACAAAGTGGAAAAAAGAAGTTTCAGAATATGCATTTAACCTCTTCTGGCCTTCTGTGGGAACAAGCGAAGAATGGGGTCATTAAAGTCCAAGAACCCTGTGCACAGAGCCCACCTGCAACTGTGCTGTCATGCCAGCCTGCCTGCATGCTGTATTGGCTCTCTTGGCCCTTAACTTCAAGGCCAAACTAGGCTACCAGTAGACCAAGATTGGTAAGTTTGTTTGCTTCACTAACAAAATATTTGCCAAGGTTGATTTCATGGTCCTGGTTCTTTTATTGCAGGTCTTTGTCCTGGAATGATAAGACAGGAACATCTTAGAAACACGTACTTTCGTTATAGCCTTCACCTTTATTTAGCCACCCTTGTCTTTCTCAGTTGGGTTTCTGAAATGCCCAAACCAAGCCCATGGCATTTCTAAAGAACAACCAGAACAAAATTCTTGAAGTTATCTCCGTTAGTCATCTAACTGTATCTCTTTGCCTTAATAAACAGTAACTGTCAGCCACACCTTTACATACCAGAGGAAAAACAAACATTGGTAGATAGAAGAAGTCTGAGAATGAGCTGGGTGAAAGTGTATGAACCATCTCCCTCCTGTCTCCTTTCTCTCCCTTCCTTTTGCAACTCCTTTCCTTTCCTCTTTCTGCTTGTGGTCCTCTGTGTCAGCCACACCTGCTCACTTGACTCACCCCCACACGTCAACCACTGACTCACATTCTCACAATCACTCACACAATCCCTCCCTCTGCACTCCTAGCGTGTCCATTTCTGTCCAGATGCCTTGGTTCTATGCTCTTGCTTGTTTCAACAGTAGTTGCCTTTAGGTCTGTAGGCTTCCTACTGTCGAAAGCAACTGAACCAGCCACAAAACTGAGGTGACTTTTGACCTGCTCCACTGCTCAGTAGTATTTGGACCAACTTTTTGAAGAACTGTGATGACATGTGGAAATCTAAGGAAGTGAATCCAAGACAATTCACTCTACAGTGTAATTTTCAAATTAATATCCCCCACATCCCTTTGGACAGTATTCTGTTTAGCCCACATAAGGCCTTTCTTTAATAGAAATATTGACACTATATTTAAGGTTAGAAGATAACTATAACTTCTTTTATGTAATGTTGAGTCTACATTCTATCTAGATCACCGGCTCGTAGTTGGCTAAGTATTGTCTGCCTTACACAGAATGGTTCTCTGCATTTTGCAACAGTCCCCATCAGTCCTCTTCACCCCAACTACCTGCCTCTTCGCTCATGTATAGTATTCTCTCTGCTCATGTATGCATTTGTATTGGGCAGCTGTCTGTAACTATGACATATGGACAGTAGGACCAAACTGATGGAAACTCAAACCCAGAGAGATAAACTACTAACCAGTTGATGTTATAAGAAAAAGAAGAAGAAAAAGAAGGGCAGCCAAGGATTCTTGGCTCTCTCAGTTTTTGTGATATAATATAAAAAGCAGACACTTTAGGAATAAGCACCCCAGTGAAGGGGTTTAGGCCTAACTGTTTACTAATAGTTCACTTTGGGCAATTCACTTAACTGTTGTGAACTTTAGCGTTCCTTTCACTATGTTGTAGATACTAGTGAAAACACAGTGGTGAAGATGAGAGATAGTGCACATGGTAAGAGACCCAGCACAATAGATGCTAGCTGATATACCTGCTTCCCCTCTATTTTATGATACATGTACAATCTCAAGTACTACAACATGCATAGTACTAACAGGTATATAAATGCAGGGGACAGTGGGCATGCTTGCAATATTTGCCAAGCAATGTCAAGAATGTCCAGATATTTCTGGGTACTCCAAAGAGTTAGATGGGCATCAGCTCCTGAAATAGTAGATGGCTTTTCAAAGTGCTTGAAATCAGGACCCGAAGCTTATCAAATGTTTATACCTCTACTCTGCTGAGAGACCAGCAAGCAGAGGCCAAGATTATGAATTAGTGTGGTGGTAGTACGAGAATGAAAGGAAGGGATGAGTATAGTTAAAAATTCTGCAGTGGCCCTGGCACAATAACCTAGTAGCTAAAGTCCGCGCCTTGCATGTGCCGAGATCCCATATCGGTACTGGTTCATGTCCCAGCTGTTCCATTTCCCATCCAGCTCTCTGCTTATGGCCTGGGAAAGCAGCAGGGGATGGCCCAAAGCCTTGGGACCCTTCACCTGCTGGGGAGATAGAGAGGAAGCTTCTGGTTCCTGGGTTCAGATTGACTCAGCTCTGGCCTTTGCAGCCACTTGGGGAATGAACCCAGCAGTCCAAAGATCCTTCTCTCTGTATCTCCTTCTCTGTGTATATCTGGCTTTCCAACAACAACAACAAAAATTTAATAAATAAGAACTCAGTAGGGATTAAAACTGATTGCTAATCAAAAAGTGTGTGGATTGTGTACTTTATTAACTAGGCTGAAGTTATGTTTCCAGGACTTACCTATCAGTGTGATTCTAAGTGAGAGGTGGCCACACAGTTAAATATTATGTAGAAGGTAGAAAGGAAACAGCAGTCACTGGTGGACTGGATCCCCTGGAAACTGGCTAGCCCATAGCCTGGCTAGCTCCCATCCATGGGCTCCTTCAGCCCTTCTCAGACCTATGGTCCTGGTTTTTACTGATAACCATCAGGGTTTGATATTGTGAGTGGCAATCCTGAGTTTCAATTCTTCCTTATGGATTCTAGTTTCTCCACATCATTCCAGTCTTTTCTCACCCATTACAAGGTATGTCCAGCTTCTCCTCCTGCTGGCCAGCCTTCCTGACCAAGGGCAACCCCGGGGCTACCACCAGGTGATTCACCAAAATTCACAAGTTGCCACTACTAAGCAGGACACCTTCCACAGATGTCAGTACCAGCTTCTTCAGCAAATGGTGAGTAGCTATGACCTAATCATTTCAGGCTTTCATTTCCCTAGTTCCTTTCATAGTTGTATAAGAGTGAATGCCTTCAATAAATTTCTTTTGTAATTTGCACAATGGCCTGCTTCTCTGATGGCAGTCTTTCTGATTGCTGGGAGTAAGAGAGAGGATGTAAAGACAGACTGAGTAGATGTGTAAAAAGGTCTTCAAAAATATGGAAATGCATGCTAAGAGCTTCAAAAATTCTTGCTCCAAAATAAACCTATATTTTATTTTTATTTTTCCATGACTGTTCTGAAATGCGCTCACAAATGAAGAATGTTTGAAAGATGCTGGAGTTGTGTACCTGCCGTTCCTGAAAAGACTCCTTGATGGTTCTCACAAGAATGGAGGAAAAGGTTGGATTAATGTAAAGAACTCAGAGCTGTAGGGACCTTTGCTTCACCTGGAACTCACTTTCATCAAGGCCTTATCTTTAAGTCATAGATTCATCAACTCTACTCATTCACTAATGCAAAAAAAGAATCATCTCTGAATGCCATATCTTTGGATATAGCAGATCACCAGTCTTTGTAGAAATAATGGTCCAAAGTATTTATCAGTGACCTATGTCACTATATATTTTTTTTTGTAATACGTTTAAACATTAGGGTTTTTTTTTTAAAAGCAAAGAAACAAACAGTTCCCATCCACTGATTCATTCCTCAAATGCCTATAGTGGCCAATACTGGGTCAAGCAGAAGCCAAAGGCTGGACCCAGATCTCCTATGTGAAAGGAAGGGAGCCAACCACTTGAGCCATCCCTGCTGTCTTCTAGGTTGTGCATTACTGTGGATGAAATCTGGAGCAGAGCCAGGCGGGGGATGAGGTATTCTTATACAGGATGCAGGTCTCCACATCAGTACCTTAAGCAGTGTGCCACATGCTCACCCCGATAGGTTTCATTTTCTTCCTATATGCCTCTTAGTTACAGCTCCAACAATTAAAAGTGATGCAAAAGACTTGTAGAATGTATAGCAGGTCACTCTGTAACCTTAAAGAGACTAACCTTTATTGTGCATTTTGGAGGTACGAGATGCTCTCAATTTATTCCTATTTTTAATGGTAGGCAGATTTTCTAGGAAGAGTTTAGTGGCCCAATTTGAAATCCACAGCATGTTTTCAAGATCCATTTCAAATACACTGTGGAAGCCTTCTACTGCTCAGCAACTATACTGTCTGTCACATTATGCCCTCCTAGGGTAGGAGGAAGATTTGAGAAATATGCCATGAAGAGAGACACTGTATTGTCTGATCCCTGATTTAGAATTGTGGCATAATTCACAACCATCGCATGTGTTTAAAGGTAGTTTTTCTGATTAGGTGTGACCCTAGAGTGTGTAAGCATTTTCCAAATGTGAATAATTTACCAGTATGGTGACTTTGTTCCTAGAGTATCAAAAAAGTTGTTTGGTCAACTGATCATTATCTGAGAATCAGCCAATTTTTTTTTTGGTAGGGGAATCTACAAAACCAGAGAACAAATGAGTACATTCATGTCCACTAACCTCAGAAGACTTTTGAAAGCATTTAAATGAGGTGTGAATTGAGCTGAGTTACTTATTTGGGAAAAGCAAAAATCTTTGTTATCTGGCCTCTTCTCACTGCAATATCCTGTTCAGGTCCTCGTCTGTCTCTTGGACCATTGCAGGCACCTGCTAAATGGTCTCCTTCTGCCATCCTCGTTCCCTATGATTTATTGAAAGCTTTCAGTATCCAAATGAATGCTTTTAATTCATAATGTCTGCTCTGTTCAAATTCCTCAGTAGTTTTCTCTACTGTGCCTCATTTCTAAATCAGGGATCAGATAACACACAGTGTCTCTCTTCATGGCATATTTCTCCAATCTCTCCCTCCCATCCTAGGAGAGCATAACGTGATAGACAGTATAGTTGGTGAGCAGTAGGAGGCTGCTACAGATAAAAATCTACAACCATATATAGCCAAGAGGCCCCATCTGATACGGCTCCTGTTGGATCTCTGATCTCACTCTTCCCCATGTACACTGGCATCCTTGCTATTCCTTTTACTTGGATCACTTAATTGGCTACTTGCCTATTTCAACAGTGTACAAATCTTAGCTGCTCTGTCAGGCTATCCTGACAGCTCTGTGATGTGATAAACCTCTACCAGCTCCCTGATCCCTGATCCTCTTTCCTCTATTGACTTTTTCCTTTTTTCCACTGCAATAACTACCCAGACAGCTTGCTTATAAGCTATGTTTACTATTTACTTTCTGTGTCCTCCAACTATAATGTAAATATGGGAGCACTATACACTGATGAAACCAAAGTACTAAAAACTGTGTTTGACATGTAGTAAGAGTTCAGTAGTTATGCGGCCAATCCAAATGTTTATGTCACTCAGTGTGTGTAGTATAATGAGTTTTATTGTGATGTATTCAGAATCAGGAAGAGTGTGCAAAATGATTAGCTGAAGACATGGTCATAGAAGTTGTTGCCCATATATTTCATGCTATAATTCAGAATTATGTACTGAGAGCTTTTCTATCCAGAGGAGAGGGATGGCATTCAGTGCCACAGCAAGATTGCAACTGCTTCATTGCTTGGACAATGATAGAAGAATCTCAATAATCAAAGAACATTTCAGAAGGAAAACTCAAGTCCAAGCATCTTAAATCAGTGATCCATTGTACATAGCTCTTGAGGACACTGAATGACCAGTGGTTCCAATGCACTGAGACTTTAATAACCATTGGAAACATCCAACATGGAAGGCACTTCAGGAGGCACTGCATGTGTCTCATTTGATCCTCCCAACAAGCCAGGAAGCAGATAATGTTCTCATTTTGCAAGAGGAAACTGAGGTACAGAAATGCTGTCACCCAGAGAATCAGTGGACTGGCCTGAACCAGAGTGCCTCCTACCTCTGGTTTCTTAGGTGAACACACACACACACATAGGAATTTTTGTTGCTCATTCATGGTTATGATATGGCACTGTCATGCACTCATCCCTCCAAAAAAAATTCTTTGCTTTCAAGATAGCTTGTGCCCTCCCCTTTATTGTACACAATACAAATAACGAGGAATACTAAGATTAGTACAGATTTATATAGCAAAACTCTATTCAGAGAAGAAAGCATCAAAGCCTACTTGGTTTAAGTTCAAGGTTTATTTTTTTTTAATCTTGGAGATGAATTTTGGATCCAATTTTGTATAAAGGCAATATTGAGAATAAGATAATGAAAGAATTTTCCAAAGAAGCTTAACTGTTTTGAAGGCATCCTTCCATGGCACTCTTAGGAAAGACTGCCGTAAAGGTGTTAACTATTTATTTACTTTTCAGTTACAAGATGTTGCTTCTTTGCCTGTAAATTCTTGTGAAAATGGATTGTGAAGTCACTTGCTTCTATGAATTACAGACAGAGACAGAACTGGTTTACTCTCCAAAATCCTACACTGGACAGTGCTGCATTAGGGCCAAAGTCAGGAGTCAGGAACACAATCTAGGTTTCCTACATGGGAGGCAAGAACTCAGTTACGTGCAACTTCACTACCATCTTCAGGAATCTGCACTGGCATGAAGCTGGAGTCCAGAACCAAAGCCAGCAATCAAACCCAGATACCAGTGTGGGATGCAGACATGCTAGCCACTACACTAAATGCATCCCTCTGAATTTTATTTGGAAAGGAAGGAAAAGGGTAACTAATACCACCATCATATAAGCGTAAAATCACAAAGTAATCTGAGGCCTTTTACATTGATTTTGGTTTGCTGCATAATAATTGGCTTCCCATTTGCATTTTGGATAATAGAAAGGAGTCCAGGGAACTATACTGAAAGCAAAGAATTGTTTTTTCTTAATAAGAAGAAATGAGACTGCCCATGTCATAATTCTAAGACTTTGTGGCTAAAGATAATAAATACCATGTATCATGTCTCACAGATTCATCACCATGTGAACCTCCCAGCAGACATTCTAGGGTGTAATAGTTTCTTGCAGATTGAGCCATTTAAGCGCAGGATGAAGCAGGTGTCTTTAGTGACCTAGCCTTGGAAGTCTCACACCATCATTTCCAGTCCGTTTCCCTGATCACACAGGTCATCTCTGACATGAGAAGGACTTCCCAAGACTTGAATACTAGGAGTTAACAGTCACACCGTAGAGTGGGTCATCTTGGAGAATGGTAACCACAACGCTCTTTTCCTATCTCCCCAAATCCATAGTTCTTGAATAATAACTATGCTCTCACGTCACAATTAACGTGGATTTCTGTGCAGATCTCTCCACCAAGAAGCAAGTAAGTGTTACTCTGGTCAGCTGCTGGGCATCCTCTAATGCAATGCTGTTCTGATATTACCTGTGTGAGGACAACATCTCCCATAACTGCCAATCACAAACCCTAGGTTGTCTTACAGTGCTGCTAAACAACCACCTGTGAATCCTGGTCCCCAAACCCTAACCCCTCCAGTTTGATTAATTTGCTTGAATGACCCATAAAACTTAGGAAAACACTGTATTTACTAACCTGTTCTAAAGGATGTTACAAAGCAAACAGATGAGAAGAGGCATTGGAGATGGATGGAAAAGGCATGGAAGAACCCAGCAGCCACCCTTCAGGAGTCTGCCCATGTTCAGCCTTCCAGGTGCTCTCAAGTCCTGTCCTATTGGAGTTTTCTGGAGACTCCATTGCGTAGGCATGAGTGTTAATTGACTTGGTGGGGAAAGCCAACAAAGGCTGTCCAGAGTCTTCAGCATCCCTTCCTTGAGGGTATGAGGCAGGCCTTCTGGAGTAAGGAGTCTTAGAACTTGCTCTGTGGGTTGCTGCAGTGTGCCTTTGGGATGAAGTCATGGGTCAGTACTATAGAATGTGTGTGCGTGTGTGTGTGTGTGTGTATAGATTTATTTTCCTCACTAAAGGAAAAAGTTTTGAACTCGGTGACCATTTCACACATTTCACACATTTGCAAATCTCCCCATCTCCTAACGTATGCCTTAGGAAAGTGTGGTAAGAGGAAAAGCAGTAGAGCATGGTGGGGAATCACAGAGATGGTTGAGCCAGATAAAAGCTGAGCCTGAAGCCCGCATCTACCACATGCAAACTATGAGATCACAGGCAAGTTATTCAACCCTCTGTTTTCTAAAAAAAGAAAAAAAAATCAAGTTAATAGTGATTAATTTAATACCAGTCATCATCTGGAAGTAGTGACAGTTGTCGTAATTAATAGTGCTTACCTTTCAGAGAATGAGAATTATATAAGTGATATGTACAATGTGCTTAGCATACTGTCTTGCATATACTGAATGCTCAACAAATGACAACTGTCAGTATGCTGTGTGGCTGGCTTTTACTTTTTTGATAAAGGAATATGGCAATAGGGAGTATTTGACATGAAAGTTCTGTCTCCAGTAGGCCTTTCTTTGTTTTGGGGAGCTCTTTTGAGAGGCAGAAGGACCAAGCACTCCCATCTGCTGGTTCCTTGCTCAGATGCCTGTGGTAGCTGGCAGTATATAATTCCAGAGCACTCCATCCAATGAAACTCTAAGCAGCACTGTATACCTTCTGTCCTATAGAGTAACCACTTACCACTTGTCGCCATGGAACATTTGAAATATGGCTATCACAAAGAATTGCATTTTTATTGCATTCACTGGTTTAAAAACATAAATTTAAATAGTTGCATGTAGTGGTTTGCTCTGTATTGTTCAAGACAGACCTATAATCCTCACAGCATGGTGGGCATCCTGTTTTGACCTTCTCTCCTCCTTCTTCACAGTCATCTGTCTTGCTATAAAAACTGCCATATGAGACAAATGTTCAACCTGTATCAAGACACCCACATCCCACATTGAAGTCCCTGGGCCCAATTCCAAGCTCCAGTTCTGGACATTGGGTTCCTATTACTAAAGACGCTGGGAGGTAGCAGTGATCACTCAAGTAATTAGATTCCTGCCAATTACATGAGAGACCTGATTGCAAACCCGAATCCTAGCTTTGACAACAGTCCAGCCCCAGTTGTCTTGCAAACTTAGAGAATGAACCAGGGATAGGACTGCTCTCTGTGTATCTCCCGTGTGCGTGTGTGTGTGCGTGTGTGTGTGTGTATCTCAAATAAATGAAAATTTAGAAAACAAAATGTTTTTGGCAAATCTGAAGTTAATGACTATAAATTGAGCCATAAAAATGTTATGATTCCCATACTTAAGAATCTTTGACTGACTTACACTTTATACCCATAAACCAAGCATGAGGGAAAATATGATCTGACTTCTGTTGTGAAGAAAATAACTTGAGTATTAACAATATGGTGAGAGAAAGTAATTCACACATAACTGCCCTTTGTGATGTTATTATCAGTGGAACTCAGTGTTATCCTACCCACTTCATTCTTACCATCCCAGCGTTCTGTATCCAGATCCGCTGGCTCATACTGTATTTTATCCTGTGAAAGCCCTGTGGTGTTGTACTGTCCTCCTCCTTTTCATAAACAGGAAAACTGGATCTCTGTAAGAGTGAAAGTTTCATTAAAATCAATTATAGAAATGGTAAAGCAGAGCTGTGAACCCTGGAATATGATGGTCTCGGTTCCATTTCTACAGCCACTCTGCTCTTCTTTATCATTCATCTTCTGCATGGCTTGTTTGGTGCTAATTATTTTTTATGACAAATAGTAAAATATCATCTATTGGCTCATGCCCCAAGTGCCCATATCAGCCATGGCTCACAAGATTAAAACCAGAAGCTAGAACTCAATCCAGGTCTCCCATATGCATCACAGAGACCTATCAGCCGCTTCCTCCAAGGGCACACTAGCAGGAAGCTGCAGTCGAGGGAGTAGGGACTCAAAGCCAGGCACTCTGAATAGCATGTGGTTGTCCCAAACACTTTTTGAGCTGCTACTCACCACTTTGGGAAGCAGAGCTGGGTCTGAAACGCAGTCACTCTGATATAGTCTACAATCATCCTAAGCAGCAACAGCTTAATCACTGTGCCTAATGCCTGCTCCAGTTTGTCACTTCCTTACAAGAGTCCAGCTCTCGATATCTTCTCATGTGTGCACAACAAAATATCAGAGCTTTAAGGGAGCATACCATCAAATGATTCTAGACCAATTTTTTTTTCATTTTTCAGGGGAGAGGACTGTAAAACCCCAGGAATTTGAATAACTTGGAAATTGACAAAAAGATAAAATCACCCCTCATCAGAGGTAAGGCAGCAGAACATTCTGGAATCCTTTGTGCACGTAGGTGTTATGTTGTATTTCACAATATTCCTAAATAATTTATTCATAATGTCAAAGTGATAAACTACAGGTGGCTGCTGCTGCCATCTGTTGGTAATGGACAGAATTGGTGTATTTCTGCACAAGTGTTTACAATAGTCCATATCTAGGAATGTCTTGTGCATCCCAGAAACATCAGTAGTTGAGGGCAGATGGAAGGAGGGAAAGAGAGAGAAGGAAGGAAAAGGGATGGAAACAAGGAGGGAGGGATAGAGGAAGAAAAAAGAGGGAGAAGAGAGTAGGTATGTGGACCCAGATAGAACTGGCTGTGCCTCTTGAAGAAATGTGATAATTTTTATCCTTGGGTTTTCATTTGTAAAATGAGGGTAATATCAATTTCATAAGTATGTAACAACTTAGTAACAAAGGCATGAGAGATTATATGTATGTTGTTCAAAATTTCACTGACCTAGACACAGGTGTTTTATTCCTTGCTCATGTCACAGGCCAGTGTAGAACCTCCTGAACACCAGGCAGCTCCCTCCATCTTAGGGCTCTTGAAGATGGAACTAAGCTCATTTCACCCTAGGGATCCACCATCTTCAACTTGGACTTTCAAGGTCACTGTGAAGCCCAGATTCATCAAAAGGGGGAGGGGGTAACTGCCGCTCCCTCTGCCTGACTTGCTCTTCCTTAAGATGTCTTTGGAGCTTGTTTTCAGGGCCTACAGATCTTTGCTCAGAAACACTTGTTGACATGATTTAAACCTGTTATTATCCACCTCTCCCCCCCCCCCCGGCCAAACCTCATCTACTTCATGTGCTTTTATTTTCTTAAAAATTTTTTTTTCTTTCTAACATCTTATGGTGGACATTTGATACAGTGGTTAAACATCACTTGATATGCCTACATTGTAGTGCATGGATTCAAATCCTGGTTCCACTCCTGATTGCACCTTTCTGCCAATGATGAGAAATTCAGATTGTCTGGGTCTTTGATTTTGTCCTTGCCTAGCCTTGTTGTAGTGGGCATTTAGGAAATGAAGTTAAAGATGGAAGATTCCTCTGCTTTTCAAGTAATACTCCTTTTTCAAATTTTAATCTCTAACCATACTATATAATAACATATCTACTTAACTATTTAAATAGCAAATGACATGTATGGTGAAAAAAATAAAATAAATACAACAAATAAGAGACTATGAAGAAGGCTTGCAAAGGAGATTGGGGTTTTTTTGTTTGTTTCTTTTTTTTAATTTTTTTATTATATTTTTGACAATCTTTCCATAGTTGATTAGGGTAAAAAGGTTCAAGGGCTATAAGAAAATGGTAAGACGATTAGTTCCACATTGTTTCCTTCATGTTTAAAGGCGGGTATTAAGGGAGAAGGCCCACCCAATTTCCCACCCTCCACAGGTCCCAGATGCATAAACAAATGGGAGCTGCAGCCCAGTCAGAGCAACCCACAATAACCCCCACCAGGCCCGCCCCGTACCCTGGTTTGCCAGTCTGTGTAGCAGTAATCCAGTCTGTCCGACACCCCATTCCACCCCAGCCCCTGTCCTGGTTTTTGTGCCCTCCGGTGGGAGTGGTAACCCAAGAGAGAGGAACCCACTGTTTCCCTCCCAGGCTTCTCCCACTCCCAGATTATGCTCTTTCCAGGTAGTTCTGTGGTTTGACTTGACAGAACTAGCCCCCAGTGCCAGCTTCTGCCAGCTGATGCTGCAGCTAAGCCCAAACAACCCTCATTCACTCTAATTTTGTTTGCACCAGTAGGAATAATCAGCCCAGCCTGGCTTTTCCCTGATCTAGCTCACATGAGGCATACAGGTGTTGTAGCCCTGCTTAGTCTGGCCTGCCCCCATCCCAGCTCACGCTCTCCAGTGGGAGTAGCTGTTCAGCAAAGGAACCACCTCTTACTCCCCTGCCAGCTCCTTCTCCTCCCTTCCTGGTCCTCATGCGTGCTGGTTGGGTGCTGTGGTCACATCCAGCACAGGCAGCCTCAGCTTGGCATTCCATATTGTGTACTAGTTTTTGTTGCAACCGAACCCGGCCCGACCCACACTGTTCTGGTGCTTGGATTTGCCAGTGGATGACGTGAACTGATTCAGCCTGGTCTTCCCTCGACCCATGCCTAATGTAAGCCAGTGGATAACTTTCCATGGCCTGTTCTGGGCCTTTTCCTATCATGTTTCTTGTGCTTACCTGCCGGGTCTGTGTCCTGTCAGAGGAGTTACCCAGGCTCCTCCATCAGAACCTCTTCCAATGCCAGATTTTGCACATACTAGAGGGTCCAAGAGCCAGCCCTACTCAGTTAACTTCCTGTCCTAGCAGGAACAGTGGCTTTTCCTGACTGGCCTTCAACCCAAACTGGTCCTTGCTGTTGGATGTTTCAGCCCAGCCATGGCTTGTCCATACCCACATATGGCTCACACATGGCTCAGTAAGGGTTGAGACCTAGACTAGTCCATCCAACATCTACCCTGGTCCTTCAGGACACCAGAGTGTGTTGGAGTCTGGCCCAGCTCGATGCATCCAATCCCAGTCCACACTTGTACCAAGGGAGACTACAACCGTTTCCTAATCAGAACGCAGCCCCCATTCCAGGCCACAAGCCCCTTGGTGGGAACCTCAACCCAGCTAGGGTTGTCCCCTTAGCTCCCCAACCGAGCCCGTTCCTAGCCGTCGATCACACACATGCCAGTGGTTGCTCTGACTCAGCTTGGCTCAACCCCTCACCTGTCCCGACCTCTGCCTTAGACACTGTGGCTTAGCGTTCCTGACTCATGCAGACCAGTAGGTGCAAGATCCTAGCTCAGCATGACCTGTGCTCCATCCTGTTCGCTTGTAGGCTAAGGTTTGCTCAGTCCTGCCCACTCCACCCTGTTCCATTACCAATTGACACATTAGCCAGCTGTTGGAGCTACTTTGCCCAGCTTGTCTGAACCCCAGGTCTGGACCATATGTTCACCAATGGGAGCTATGACTCGCCAAGGGAGTTTCCCAAGTTCCTCCACAATATCTACTCCCAGACCCAGTTCTCATACATGCCATTGGGTTTAGGCCAGGTTCCGGCGAAGTCCGGCCTTCCATTTGGCCTTGTATGATCTGGTGAATGTTGTAGCCCGGCCCATCCCACACCCTATTCAGGATGCGCATTTGGGTGCTGCTGCCTTGACTAGTCCAGACCGTTACGGGTTCCTTTACCTGTGATTGATGGCAGGGTCTTTGGTCGCAACTAGCTTAGTCCATTACCACCCCAACTCTTGAGCTAACCAATGGGGCTAAAATTTCCAAAGGGTTTGGCCCATACTTCCCTCACAGAATCTATCCCCGGATATGGTTCTTGAGTGCTAGTCAATGCAATGGCCCTGCTTAATGTGACCCTTCTCCTGATCCATCATCATGTCAAATAACTGGATATGATTCTGCTGGACAAGCCCCTAGCCATAGCTTTTGCATGGACTGGTATTTGGTGGTCAGTATTGTTCAGTGATTACCAGTTTTTCAAAGGAAGAGTTACTGTCATTGGAAATCTTTACGATTGATTCACATTCTAGAAGCACAGTGAGTTCAACCTGGAGCTACCTAAGCAGCGATTCAAAGAACCAAAACCCCAGAGCTCCCCGGCCAGGCAGCCAGCAGGCAGAGCCTGGCACCAAAGGCCATACTGGCTGCCCAGGGACAGCTCACCATGTGCACGTGGTGGCTGGCTTCTGGGATCCAGGCATGAGATACCCCGTCCTGAGACCCACCAGCAGCTGGGAGGCTGCTGGAAGTTTAAACTCCCAGACCCAAGATCGCGCCCTTCCCCAGTCCCATTCACTGCCCAATGAGGGTGGCGGGTGGGCCCTGGACCTTCCCAGTCACAGAGATCTCCCCCCTTAGTGTACTCACCCCGAAGGGAGCAGCCCCTGGAGCCCAAGCAGGCCCGGTGACTGCTCACCACATGCATGTGGTGGCTGGCTTCTGGGATCCAGGCATAAGATGCCCCGTCCTGAGGCCCACCGAGATTGTTTTTTCTTAATGGCCAAGCATGGAGGCTGCATACATTACTTCTACTTCCATTCTGTTGACCAGAATCCAGTGCCACACTTGCATCTAACTGCTACAGAACCTGGATAACGTTTCTGGGAGTCTCTGACACCCATGCCAATTAGTCAGTTCTTTTAAAGCAATATCTTAGCTTCTGCCTCACAGTAAGTGATCAAAAATGGGTCCAGCAGTGTGGCACAACAGGTTCAGTGACCACTTGCAATACAAGCAGTCCATATCGGAGTGCTGGCTTAAGATCAAGCTGTTTCACTTTTGAATCAACTTCCTTTTAATGATTCAAAAAACAGCAGAAAACAGCCCAAGTACTTAGGTTCCTGCCATTTACATAGGATACATCAAGTTGAAGCTCTTGGCTCCTGACTATAGCCTGGCCCAGCCACGCTGAGCCCATTTAGGAAGTGAAACAGCAAAGATTCTCTCTCTCTCTCTTACTCTCTCTCTCTGTCTGTCTTTCCCACCCTCTTTCCTTCTGCCCATCTGCCCTCCCTCTCTGTGTCACTCTTTTGAATGAATACATAAATCTTTAAAAATTTTTTATTAACCACAATTCTCAGTAATAAGCACACAAGCAGTACTACAGTGCAGTTGCACATTCTTCTATATACATTATGCAATACTATTTACACTTTTCTCAGCTTTTAGTATGACACACACATGAAACTAAAAGGCAATGTGGTGTGGTGAAAATTACATGGTCTTGGAGATGTGGCTTCCAATCCTGTGTGATCTGGGACAAATCACTCAGAAAATCTGAACCCCAGTTTCCTTATCTAGATAATGAGATATCTGTGTAGTCTCCCCTCACCCTCATCTCCCCGGCTGCAAAGATATTTGTAGGGGCCAGAATTGCGGCATAGTGTGTGATTCAAGTTCCTAGTGCCCCACTTCTGATCCAACTTCCTGATAATGGTCTGAGAGAGCAATGAAAGATGGCCCAAGTTGTGGCCAACCAGGTTGTGAATCTCAGTCA